ACGCATCTTTGCAGGTAGCAACCCAATAAAAGCTAAAGGCACAAAACGGTCACGTGTCTCCCAGGATAATGCAGCTTCCGCTCCATCTATTGCGGTATGTGTCGGACAAGCAGAAAGTATTGGCAGTAGCGAGGGCGACCGTGATGGATACACGCCATGAAAACGGAGTAGCAATCATCTTGCTGAGCTTGCGTCTATGTCGGAGCAGGGCCAGACGATTGAAAACGTCGTTGCTCCCTTTCCAAGAGTGACAATCAAGACATGGGGTGAATTCGACACTTTACTAGCGTCCTACACAAAGGCAAACAACCTGCACTTTCGAGTTCGCAGTTCCGAGTCGGCTGAAACGTATAACCGGTATGTATTATGTTTATTTATGCTATGTAATTTATCTAATGGTCGCCTAACCTTAATTTGTAGGAGTCACACAGACGAGATACCTTTAACTTTCCGCTGGCACCATAGGGGTTTTCAATGCACTCATGGCGTTTCTCAGCATTCTCGATCTACTGGGCAGCGCACACGCAAACCACGGCTCTGTGGGTGCTTGGCGCGCTTCACACCCACCGTGATGCTTATGGATGACGGAACATTTCAAATTGTCATCAGAAATGAGGTGAGTTGCTCTATAAAATTTCGTTTATACTATACTTAACACAACTGACAGCTGCCTTTCTTGCAGAATCATACACACTCCCATGTAGCTACTCGTGTTGAAGCTGCTTTGTATTTGACAAGGAAAACGATTCCAATTGACGAGCAAGACCTTGAGGATGTGAAGACCCTTGCGGACGCCCGAACGTCTTCCAAGCAAATTTCGAATTATCTGAACGACCGTATTGGTAAGAATCCATAATTTTTAAGGTCTATATTCCTGGCATAATATCAATTAAAATTATTTTTCCGCATATAGGATGTAGAATCACCCCTCAGCAAACTCGCAACCTCTTGCGCAATATTATTGGGCGGGATTCAGCGGAGGATCGTTTGAAAAACATGCTTCACGCGTTGAACCAGCTAGACGGAAGTGACGAACTTGTCATCCAAGACCAGATGGATGTCACATGCGGAATAGTGATGCAAACGAAGCTACAGAAGCGAATATTCGAGTTATGGGGCGAGACACTTGCGATGGATTTCACACACGGCACCAATAATCTGGGCTATCACTTGGGTACGTAGTTTTACAGCGACCTTTGGGCAACCCTACTTGTATGTTCATAGCAATACGGAGACTGATTACGACTCGCGATACGAGGCGTTGAAGCGGTACTGTGACGACAACAAAGGCATAACCATTTTCGCCTATTTCGAGAAGAACTGGCACTCGTACTGACTTACCTGTATGTTCATAGCAATACGGAGACTGATTAAGACTCGCGATACGAGGCGTTGAAGCGGTACTGTGACGACAACAAAGGCATAACCATTTTCGCCTATTTCGAGAAGAACTGACACTCGTGCCGAGATATGTGGTCCAACTTTTCTCGTGGCAATTTTTTTACAGCCGGCAATACTACTACAAACCGTGTGGAATCGAATTGGAATCAAGTAAAAATGCTTCTGGGACACAAAACGCGGATCGACAAGACAATCGCGGGACTACTTCAGCATCAAGTCACTGTGGCGCATCAAATCATCCGTAAGGCGGTTAACGTGTTAAACCATTCTAGGCCAGCTTGCGTGTACTGTTGGGCAGCATTGCTCGTCCATACGCTTGCCGAAATCTGTCACCCCCTTTTTGAGAGGTGTTGCTACAAAGACTTTTCTTCTGGTATGTTACTGAAAGTGACAAGAGAGTGGGAGTGTTTCGTGACTCTCATGGCCAACGCCAAATGCGAACGAATTACGTCTAGTGTCTCGCGATGGAAAGTTCACTGCTACAACGAAACACACAACTGTGACAGCGTAAAATGGACGTGCTCATGCCTATTTTACTCGAGTCATAATCTGCCTTGCCGGCATCTGATGCTGTTGGCCTCTACAGAGCATGAACTGGAGGCACTTCCCGCCGCTGCAGTTAAAGAGCGATGGAGTATGACGTCTGCGCTGGATATACAAGAGGAGTTAGCCTCCGCGGCAGCCTTGCTGGAGCCAATTGTGCAGATGTCCAAGCTAAAGTCGCCGAAAGGGTCGCCGGAAGGGTTGCCGGAAGGGTTGCCTTTTCAACACCAGAAGGGTGGTTCTTCTCCAGTCAAACAGGTGGTGTACGTTCGACTTCGTCGCAATGAACGCGCAAAACATGTTGTCCTCTCATCGGCTGAGAAATATACTTACGCTAAGGCTTTGATGGAACCTCTCCTCGAGCATTTGTCGAACATGTCAAGTTCCGAGTTTAACCAAGAACTAAGTGCGTGGAAAGACACAATCGACGAGGGACTGAAAGGCGGGACGACTAAGGTGAACACTGCCCATGACACTGAACACGCTACTGACTGGGAGAATGAGAGTGACGTATTCAGTGGGATCGATCCTACCGAAGCTATTGAGGCAATCGACATAATGAAGATGTTTGAAATTAAAACCGAAGATCTCTCGGATAACAAGCACATTCCGGATAATTACGAAAGACGAGACGATACGGTACGTTCGGCTGAGGCAAGCGGTACTGTAGCGACCGGTGCTCCCGCACTGAATCCGAAGACAAAAGTGCAAGAATGACAAGTGGACATTATCAGTGTGTCTAAACCAGTGCGACGAGGCAAAGGGAGAACTCAATTGAAACAGTTGAAGCTTGCTCGAGGGGCCGATCGACTAGCAGTTCATACCTACCCGAGTCACTTAACAGTTTCACTTAAAGAACTGGTGGCGTGGGCTAGGTATACTTCAAATCTAAAGGAAGTTCTAGTGATGATGGAAAAATACCCCATCCAGCTGGAGGATCCGTACCTGCGGTGTCGAACTATGAAGTGTCGTTGGGAAGTCGTGCGCCCATCTGATGTCATGCACAATTTTGTGATCCCTTCGGATCTTGCTCGGTCAATGCAAGCCGTGACGGTAACAACAGCAAAAAATGGTAACGCCCCTGACAAACTGGACAAGGAGCAGAAGAAGCATGGATTTGTCAACGATGTCGTTGTCACTATTGATCCAAAGATCTGGAAATTCAGCGGGTGAGTCCACACCGACGTCACGGTTGCTTATAGGGTTGCTGTAACCCGTAAGGTTGCTGAATGGTCGCTGTATCAAATATGAATGCTGCACGGTTGCTTTAATATGGTGCACTAACGTTGTGTTTATTTTTTATGCAGTGAATACGTGGGTGCCTTGACGACATTCTACGATGTTAAGGCCAAGTGTAGATCTTGAAATGAAGACAGGAAATGGCTCGAACAAGACTGGAGACGCGTCGGGTCTGGATTGGAGCTTTTCGCTGTTGAAACGAAGACTGCAGGTCTGTCAGATGCCGCTGCCCGGAGTCGGCACCAAGTTCTAGCCAATGAGGCTATTTCAAAGTTTACATCAAGTAGATTGCGCACTCAATTTGTGACAAGGTCCAGTTCAGTTTTTGTTGGCTTCTAAAATATTGTGGGAAATCTCTGTCGAGGCTGGTTGAACGACAGTGCACTTGATTTTTGTCTGGAAGCTATTGTCGAATCAAACGGACCGTCACTATTGCTGTCGACCCTAGTGGTGGATTTTGGTTGTACCAAAATACCCAAGACATCTATCCAAGATACAAGGTTTATTGTCCATCCAGTGAATTTAAATGCAAGTCACTGGGGTCTGATTATGGTCCGAACCGACCATGACGATGCAGACAGCAGAACACGTGTACGACCAATGATGTATGAGCCTCTTATCGACGAAGAATATCGTGGTGAAGTTGTTGAGGTATGGCAAGGGTCTACGATGAATGACGAGCGGAAAGAAGGCCTTGTCGACTTTGTGGGGCGGTGGCATGCCTACTCTGCATTGGGATATAAACTAACGATAGAACCGGAATTGTGGATTGAAACACCACAACAGCCTGACCACGTAAGCTGCGGAGTACTAGTTGTTGCCCAAGCGTATAGCTACCTAACGGGGAGTATGCAGCTTCAGCAGAACCAAGTATCCAAAGAAGACGTCAGTATAATGCGCCTAAAAATGCTGTGGATGATGATATGTCCTTCGCACGAACGCTCGTCATCCGAGTACGAACTAAATAGGGTGAACCATGTCCAGCAGCAGTTACAGGATCAGCTCAGATAAGGTAGGCCAAGCTGATAACACTTCAACACGATTTTGGCAGGTCTTGATATCTTCTTATCATTATTCAGCTAGTTCATTACGAGCTCCAGCAGCACTCTTGATACCTACTTATCATTACTCAGCTTGTTCACCAGGAGCTCCAGCATCATTCCAAACGATAGCGTCTCCATGCGAGATAGGGTCACGTTTTCATCTTTAACAGTCTTAGATAATTCGTACCCGTGCTCCTCCCTCTCTTCGATAAGGGCTTGGACCTCTAGTTGAGCCTTCATGATCATCTCCAGACCCGTGCTGATCTGCTCCAACTTCTCCTTCAATGCCGCAAGCTCCTCAAGACGTGCGCTTACCAACTGCCGCGCCAGTGCTGCCTCCTTCATAGCAAATCTGCGCTAGATGTCAGAAAGAAATGGAGCTCATGCGAACTTAGCTCATATATCTAAATTTAGACAATTGAACGGATAGTTGTCATTTTGTGGTCCACAGGTAACTGACGACATGTAATTTATAATAAATTTCGTTTTGCTAAGGTTGCTTCTGGTTTGGCCAGGTTGCTGGAAGTGTTGCTTTATTTTAGTGACAAGGTTGCTATATATTTCATCGTCAGATTGTAAATGGGGAAACTTATGGTTGCGGTAACGCCATTCCTATGACAGGGAGAGCAGATTGCAGAGCAAGGGCATCAGCGATGAATTGACTTGATTTTAAGTAAGATCCCGCTTATGTCCGGTGCCTTCGAACTTAGTCTGGGGCCTACGTTGGAGTTATCCAATGGAGTAGCCCCCTCTTGCTGTGATGCATTCGGCAAAAGATCAGCAAGTGGAACACCTCAGGATGGTTGTGCTGTACAAGGACATTGCCAAGACGGCGGAGAACGTGCTCCGCGACGACTATGACTTTTCGCGTAAGCTCAAGATCAAGACCAAGGCGTCGAACGGCGTCTCGTTCACGACCGAGGGCGACATGGCCAGCAACAAGGCCATCCTTGCCAAGCTCTCGGGCTCCTTCACGCACGCGAGCAGCGGCGTTGTCTTCAAGAAGCTGCAGGTGACCACTCACGGCCGATTGATCTCTGAGGCTGAGCTGCCCGACGTCTTTACTAAGGGCCTCAAGCTCACGGCCAAGGTTGAGGACGGCTCGCTCGCCAAGAACGCATACGCCAAGCGTGCCGGCGTCTTTGGCTGGGAGTATCAGCAGCCGAGCTTTTCGGTGAGTGGTGCCATCGACGTTGGCGTCAGTACCATCACCAAAGCCGCCGTGTACAGCTTCGACAACGTGCTGGTGGGCGCCCAGACTGCTTTTAACTACAACAAGTCGGCTATCGTGGACCACAATGTGGCTCTCAGCTACCGTGGCAACGACTTCACGGCCTCGCTGCAGACCAAGAAGAAGTTCAACGCACTATCGGGTTCGTTCCACCACCACCTGTCACACGACACCGTCTACTCGGCACTCTTCAACTACGACCGCAAGTCGGGCCAGAACACGCTAAGCGTGGGTGGTCGCTACAACGCCGACAAGCTCACCGCGTACGCCGGTAAGGTCGAGTCGGACGGTCATGTGTCTTTGGCCCTGGTCCAGAAGATCCGCCCCTTCTTGGCACTGACAACAAGCGCTCACGTGGACGTTAAGAACTTCGACGGCGACGCGCACAAGTTCGGCATCAGCCTCACTTTGGGCTAAACAGCGGCACGCATATACGTAGACGTGTGTCTGGCCGATGCTAGATGGAGGAATTGGGTCTGCTAATAGAGGGGTTGTGTCGCGCCCCCGACGCCGTAGGTTTAATGTCTAGGCCAATTCAATTCACGTCTCATGTACAATTTCAGGTCAAATCGTACCTTGCGCAAAACCTCCTGCCACGCCACTCACACATCGGTTTCTTGGGATCCTGGAGTCAAAAGCTACCCAAAACTCTTTTGGTACAAGAGTGACAAGCATGAGTGAGACTGACCGCTTCGACAGCATGCTGCTGACCATAGCACAGTCGCGGCGTGGCATCGAGCCGCTGCTCGACACAGTATTTTCCTTTTTGCGTCGCAAGACCGATTTCTTTGCAGGAGCTGAGTCGCAGGTGATCGAGGAGACGATACTCAAGAGTGTGCGTAAGCAAGCGGCGCTGGCCGACAAGGACCAGTTCCACAAAAAGCAACAGGAAGCCGAAAGCGTCGGAAGCAGGAGGAAGCACAATTGGAGAAGATCCAAAAGAAGGAGCAAGAGGAGAAGGCCAAGAACCCGCCACGCTTTGAGGAAATTACGGACGGCGATAACACCGAGACTAAGGAAGCCACACCCGAGCAGGCGTCGCCTCAGGAGATAAACACGACGAAGGAAGTGGGCGATGAGGAAGAAGAGGACAATGGACCGCGTGCGTTAGTCGATAGCTTTGATTCTGCAGAAACTCAGCTTACTTTTGGCTGTTGCTAACGCTGTCTTTTGACATGACAAATATGTGGGTGTAACTGCAGCGCTTGTGGGCAACGGAGGCCAAACTGACAAGTATGTATGGACGCAAACGCTGCAGGAAGCTCAGATCAACTTTGCAGTTCCTGAAGGTACCAAGTCCCGACAGGTTGATGTGGAAATCCGTGCTGGAAAGCTGCGCGTTGGTCTCCGAGGCGGCGAGACATTTGTGGATGGACCTCTGTACAACAAAGTAAAAATGGACGACAGCTTCTGGACGCTGGAAGATGGTAACCGCATCTGCATCTACCTGCAGAAAGACAACCAAATGGAGTGGTGGAAGACTATCGTCCAGGGGGACGCGGAGATCGACACTCAAAAGGTGCAGCCCGAGAACTCTAAGCTCGACGATCTGGACTCCGATACACGCCAGACTGTCGAGAAGATGATGTTTGACCAGCGTCAGAAGGCCATGGGCCTTCCGTCGAGTGACGAAATGCAGAAGCAGGAGATTTTGCAAAAGTTCATGGCGCAGCATCCCGAGATGGACTTTAGCAAGGCCAAAGTTAATTAGGCAGAAGGGGTGCCTACAAAACAGCAAACCTAACGGCTCAGCTACCATTTCAGACTAAAAATACCGCGTTGACAGCTGTTGTATCTAAAATGGGGAATGACAGCATTGGGTAGCATTCCATTTGGCGTTTTGAGAGCAGGAAACAACAGCAGCTTAGCATAAATGTCTACGTGTCGTCACCATGTCGTGTCTGTAGTACTCGGATACGATACGAACGAACATCAGAGCAGCAGCGCCGCCATGAACCAGCACGTGGGCAAGAAGCTCCCGGGTACATCGAAGACAGCCTCTGAAAATCTAAACAAGAAATGTCACGTGCAGCTCGGCGAGCCTGGCACGAAGAGAGCGTTCGCAACCTCCAGCAAACTTGCAGATCCAACCGGAGAAGTGTCCAAGTACCGAGGAGAACTAGCTAAGGAAACCAAGGACTTGCTCATGCAGACATCTTCTTGTTACGGACACGATGTTGTACCGTACGTATCGTCGACGCAACTCGCTACGCAATGGGGCAAGCAGGCCGTGGAGGAAACGATCCGACTGCGAAATGAGATTCGAGCTCGAACAGGCCCGCGACCGACTCGAGGCATGTCCTATGATGACGAGATTGAGTACGTCTCGGAAGCCAAGAGTGCATACGAGAATACGTTCAAGATTCACAAGCCTTCGACGATGGCTGCGTCTGTCAAAAATGGTACGTTGGTGATTATTTGCTGTCACTTGTACGTAGTAACTTGTCCGCCTTCTGACATGTTGATGCATGTGCAGATTTGCGCTCAACACACTTTTCACTGGGGCACGAGATGTTGGACTACAAGACATCGAGCCATATTGCGCACCTCTCTTCAGACCAGTTCGCACTTTACGGTACTCGGGCTCCACCACTCCACGATCTGAAAAAGTCAACGGTGGAAATCTCGTGAAGTTCTGGTAGTGCTGATGCCTCAAAGCGTTACAACACATGCACCGCTTAAAATGATATTATTATTGCTTGAAGCTTTCTACAGCACATGAGAAAATACATTTGACGTCTGCACAAGGGCAAACACAAATGGATTTCCTTTCATTCTCAAGCCCAAGAACTAGACGTTGAAGCTTTCACCACAGCCGCAGCTTCCCTTGGCATTCGGGTTCTCGAAAACGAATTCGGACGAGACCGGGGTTACCTATAATAATGCAAAAATCAACTAGGGTCGCACAACACGAGACAAATTGTGATTAAGCAGACAAACCTGGAAGTCCATGGTGGTGCCGACCACGTGAAAAAGAGCCTTGGGTTCAACAAAGACGCGAGCACCTATAATAGCCGCATCAAGCAACAACAAGCAGTTTCATACCTGGCCTCCATCACCCATAAATCGCTTTTCTTCAACCTTCTGCGCCTTACCATTCTTGCTCACTTCCTCCTCCATCTTCTCCTTTTTATCTGCGTAGTTCATCGTGTATGATAACCCATTACATCCACCTACAGTACATGAGCAAGTAACAGACCGTCATATAATTTCATGTACCAATAGAACAGTCGATCGTCGCATTCGTACGTGTTTTGACACCTAGTCGGATCCCAATTGCGTCTGGTTTGTTCGCCAGTAGCTCCTTTATGCGTTCCGCAGCAGCGTCCGTCTGCATTAGTAGAATGGACAACCTCCGTTATCTCGGTGTTCTCGAATCTCACAATTCTGCGGGCTACAACGCACCAGGTTCAGCGGTGGTGGCAGCTCGCGCAGGCGTCGACGTGTGGGAGGCGTCGCATGTTCCGCCACGGTAGACAAAAGGCGCGACGCGTGGGCGGCCCTGGGTCGAGACACGGAGCGGAAAAACGGCGTCATGAGCCGCACACTTCTTAACAATGCCTTTTTACCCACATCGACCACTTCGTCGACTAAGTGCGACCTTCTCTGGATTGGTTACTAATCGGTAAATTTCGACGAATCGTGGTGAAATTCGATTTTGGTGGTGTGGTGGTAGAATTCTATGCAAAAAGAGGAAAATTGACAAACACTGGTACATTAGAGCATCTCCAGCGGTGGGGGCTATACAGTACACGGATTTATCCTAAAAATAACACGTTTAAAACTTGAATGAGTTTTAACGCGTCCACTCATGGGTCATAAAGCTGGTTTTAACTTCAATCGGCCCTAAAACTTGGCTTTTGGGTCTTAAAATAAAACCTGGGCTTCAATCAGTTCGACTTGATTTTACTATACTGGTTTTGAAGGGAAACCAAAGGAAACTTCATCAACCATGGGCAAGGGGCCTGAATGGAGTGAAGCTGACACCGTTCAGCTCTGCAAGTCCTGGCTGGAGACATCAGAAGATCCTGTCGTCGGTACAGGCCAAAAGAAGACGTCATTCCTTAGTCGGCTTTATGAACACTGGTTGGAAAACAAGAGCGATGAAAGTAGTGAGGATCGCTCGGCAACTGCAGTCGGAGGGCGCTGGAAGAAAATGCAGCCAAAGGTGACCAAGTTTTGCGGCGTGTATGCCAGGGTGAAGAGTCGGGAGCGTTCTGGTTGGAATGACGAGATGTATCTCGATGCTGCACTTGAAATCTACGCAGAGAGATACAAACAGCCGTTTGAGTTTCTTGCTGCATGGAATGAGCTGAAAGACAAGCCCAAATGGACCTCCAAGATTACAAGTGATAGCAGTGCCAGAGCCAAGCGTAAGGCCGGTAGTGATGGCGATGTAGCCAGACCAGAAGGTCGCAAAGCAGCGAAAGCAGCGCATCAAGAGAACAGGAGCTCAAAAGGCGCAGGAGATGAAGCTCATCTTCGCTTTGCTGCAGCGACTGAGCGAAAGGTTGTCGTGATGGAACAACAATTGTACTTGGAAATTTTCATGCAAAACCCGGAGAGCGACGAGTCAAAAGCGTTCTTCTCCATGCAGCGCAAATCTATTCTCGACAAGATAACGAAAACGAATGTAGCAGCGACGCAACAACACCCACATTTGGATCACGGACAACTCGTTTCTGTTGAAGCTACGGCAACGCTAGGTACGGTAGCTACAAATGCTAACAAAGAAAACGACTCCACCACCCGTAACAGCAGCAACAGCGACATTCATAATGTCACCTCTGCTGAATTGTAGCTTTGCTCGAACGACCAAATCAATTCAGTAGTCAAAAGCTGCCATGCATAACTTACCTAGTTGCGTCCACCAAATTGACGCCATACGTGCTCAATCAAATCATTTTTTAGCTCAGAATGAGCTTCTTCGTCTTCAATATGACACAATGCTTGGGCAATGCTTGATACTGGACATTCTCCTGCCGGTGTGCTTTGCACAGGGCTCACCCACTCGTCCTCAAAAAGATACTCGTGGTTGAGATCCTGAAATGGTAGTTCATCTTCGACAATCATGTTATGAAGAATAATACTGGCCAGCATCACATCATTCATCGCGTCCACTTTCCACAGCTTACACGGCAGCGCTAATATCCGAAAGCGTTGCTGGAGCACACCAAACGTGCGTTCTACGTCTTTTCGCACTCCTTCTTGCTCAGCTGCGTACAGTTTCCGTTTGTTGCCTTGAGGTGCACTAATAGTAGACTGAAAGATTGCCCAGGGTGGATAAATGCCGTCTGTGAGATAGTAAGCTTGGTCGTAAATTGCTTCGTTTACAGTAAATTGAACCAGTGGCGCCACTCCGTTCACCAAGTCATTCAATAGCGGTGACCTCTCCAGCACATTTAGATCATTGTTTGCCCCAGGCACGCCATAAAAAGCGTGCCATATCCACAACGATCGAGATGCGACGGCTTCCAAGATGACGGTCGCTGTCTACTCTTTCCCTTGAAATGCACCTTGCCACGCGGTTGGACAATTCTTCCATGTCCAGTGCATACAGTCCAGACTGCCAATCATGCCTGGGAAACCACGAGCCGCATTCTCTGCAAGAAGTGTTTCCAGGTCATCGAGTGTAGGTGTACGTAAGTACTCCGGTCCCAGCAAGCGAATGATATTCTCACAGAAAATGTTTAGCATCTCGATCACCGTAGATTCTCCCATCCGAATCAACTCGTCCAGCTGATCTGCAGATGAACCATACGCAAGCATGCGCAAGGCGCATGTCACCTTCCGCTCCGGGAGGAAACCCAGACGTCCAGTGGCGTCACGGCGCTGAACGAAATAATTACACTGGTCATCCTCCACAAGGGCGTTAACGATTGTTTCAAATAGGCTGCGACGCATGCGAAAGCAACGTATTTGTTTGATTGTCCTCAACAAATACAAGTTGAGATAAGTCGATTAAATATCAATATAATCCAGCTAACGGTGAGGTCAGTGATACGTACGATCGTCGTAGGTTGGATTGTCTCCAAAGTAGTCTTTCATTAAGCGCTCTCCTCCGGTCGCGCTCCTTATTAGTTCTTCTGCCAGCTCCTGATCCTCCATGCTAGTGTTACTTTCGTAGGGGCGCATTGATACTATCCTGGAGCCATGAATGTAGATAGTACTCGTCGTCAGAGTCGTC